AATAACAGACGATACTGAAAAAATACATAAAATACCCAGAAAATGTCAACAAATAATAAAAAATGATACTTTTTGAAAAAAATCTGCTTAAAAATTCGTATTTTTTTGGTTATTTGATAAATTTCTCCAAAAAATGCCCCTATAACAGGTGGTTTTTATTACTTTGTATTATTCTCTATCGTATTATCTTTGTAAAACCAAAAATCGCATGTTTCTATACCTATCACAACATTTGCTATGATCGTTTGAACTAAGCCTCTCCGGGCGCGTCCTTTTTTCAAAGAGTATATTTTTTTATTATTTGTTGGCCTTTTTTTGTGTATTTTATGTATTTTTTAGTATTGCCTGTTATTTAGCATTATTACTGTTTTTATTTTATCAGGATATACCGCTTAGTTTAAAGTTATTACGTTTTCTTTACAATAAGTAATTGGAAGAAAAAAAATTCTATAAAAAAATTAAAAAAAAATCTCTAAAATTTTTTGACCTCTTTTTTGTCGATAAAAATAGCTCTAGTTTCATCTATTTTCATATGTACACTTTAACGTGACTCACACTGTATAAGAAGCAGAACTAACTGGTGTAATGTTAGCAAGATTCTGTTACAAATTTTCTGGCCCAAGAAAAACAATAGCTTAGTAAAGTTGCAGAATAACAACAGTTAGTAAAGTTGAATAACATAGAACAAGGAACCAAACCATTGCATAATCGATGGGATGTCAGTATGTCAAGGGGATATCGATCGTTCAGGCGATGCAATGCACACCATAATATTCATGGGGTGCCTAAAGTTCAGAGGGCATCTTATTAATTTCATGGTTCGTGCTTTGTTTCTATGCTTTGAAAAATTATTTTTATTTATTTTTCCACAAATAAGGTTACCAACAACGCAATGTCAAACTTTAAGCTCCCAAATAAGTTATTTTTATTTGCAAAACTTTTTTAAGTAATTTTTGGATATAAATACTAGAAATTATACGGTTATCTGGCAATATTTGTTTGCGGAGGTAATTGAAATCTAATGTGATTTTCTGATTAGCGAATTATGATAATTATTAATCTGATTCTTTCAATCTTATCAAGATCTAATAACCAGACATTTTTTTTGCAAATGGCAAAATTTTCAATAAAATCGATAAACTGATAATAAACTAGCCAAAAATAATGATCGTCTAAACTAAGATTTTTTTAATAACTTAGCCTCAGCGGCAACCACAAATGGATGTTTGGCGTGGATCGATGCGTCTGCGTTCATTTATGTATAACGATCGAAGGGGGACACGCGTGACCTTCAATTTGGGTCCACGTGTCGGATCTTGAATGGGTAATTATCAGAAAGGTGACCCTGAACTCTTAAGAAACTGTTTTTTAGTCATTAAAAACACTAGAGAGGAGGGAGTATCAACAACGTGATCGTCACAGCTGGTCACACAGAGGAGGGGATCAAAAACTCTTTAAATTTCTGTGACGTAATTTAAGGATAGTCCCTTATAGGGTTATTAAAGATACATAATTTATGTAAAGGTTTTTGTAATGCAACTCAGTAAATTAAAGATCTTCTCCTAGCTATAAAGTCACATTTTGAAATATTTACTTTATGGTAGTTGCCAATTAAGAAAAAACATTATATCAAAGTTATACTTATTATAATCCCCCAGCCACACAAATGGTTAAATGCATTTCCCTGAAGAATATGATCAGCATAAACCCCAATAGCCCAAGGTATATCATAAACATACTGACCAAACATAATATGTCCGCTGTCCCTTTCGGGACCACTCAATCATCGTCTTTCATTTCTCGATATCAATTTGGATGAACCCGATGGGTTTTATTTACTTTTCCATAAATTACATTTGCATATGTAAACTGAGTGGCTTCCGCTACTTTGTCTGTGTAATTAATTTGAAAAGCTGTTTGTTTATTTCTTTTATTTTAATTTTATATATCTTTATTTAAAGAAACATACAGCCTTGTTTGACACATGCAGCTTAAAATTAAGTGGGTTATGTTTTGTCATTATAATCAATTATCCCAAATCCCAAACTTGTAAATTTTAAACTTTCATGCTCTATTTCAGCCTCTTGAAGTATTTTTGGGTCAAAAGCTAGCCTATGTCTAGTCCTTCTTCAAAGGTACCTATTTGTATCTTAGAATAGCCTGAATGAAAAGGTTTCTCCGTCATCTATCTATATAAATAAAAATTAATTGATGTTCGTTAGTCTGATTAAAACTCGAGAACGGCTGGGCCGATTGAGCTGATTTTGGTTTCAAAATGTTGGTCGTAGTCCAGGGTAGGTCTAAACGGTGAGCAAATACGCGCGCGATATTGTTTTTCTGTGACAGACAAAATTCAACGCGGGCGAAGCCGCGGGCGGAAAGCTAGTCTATGATATATTCAAACTGTTTAACTTACCTTTCAGCATAAAAAACTCCATCTCTTAAATTACGTGGGTGCTGCTTACCTGAAAAACAAAATAATGTTCATAAATACAAGATACAATACATTTCAATACAAAAAACATAGGCATTAATTATTTGTAATCTCTGTGTTATACAAAATGAACTTTAATTTATATTTTGTGTGCTTTATTAAAATTATTTTATTCATTCATAAGCTTCCGCAGGTTTTCAGTGGAAATAATAAAGTATATTAGCATCGGAAATAATTAATCAAACATGTATTTTGAACCGAATCGATTGTATTTTAACTATTGTACCAACATGAAGCAGTAAAAAACATTTTATTTCATTCGTATTGTTTTCGAAATGCATTACCAAACCACGCAAAAGACTATACAGGGTGGAAACGATAAGTGATCTCACTCGATTATTTCTAAACTATACAAGATATTGAAAAACTGGACTGGTACTGATCCTGAAAGTGCTTCACGAGCTCTTTCAAACGGTACCAGTAACAGGTTACAGAATAAACTGGAACTATCCGAAAATGCAATGTTTCCAGCTTCCATACTAAATGTATGGCCAACCACACAATATTAGAAGTGTAATTTATTTTTTGTTAAATAATAAACTTAAAAAGTCGGTTAAATAAACTCGTAACTTGCATCTTATTTAAAATTATTGGTGGAAAACATTAGTTTTAGGCTTTACTTGCTATAATATTATCAAGAGATGAGTGCCATGACTGTAATAGTACTAAATGTATGGAAGATGGAAACATTAAATTTTTGGATAGATCCAATTTATTCTGCAAGCTAATGTTGATACCGTTGGATAGAGCTCGTGAAGCACTTTTAGGATCAGTAACTAGTTTTGCGATATCTCGTGTAGTTTTTAATATTAAGTAACTTTACCAAATGTATGGAAGCTGTAAACATTGAATTTTCGGATAGTTCCAGTTTATTCTGTAACCTATTATTGGTACCGTTTGAAAGAGCTCGTGAAGCACTTTCAGGATCAGTAACCAGTTTTTCGATATCTTGTATAGTTTAGAAATAATCGAGTGAGATCGCTTATCGTTTCCACCCTGTATTAGTTATTATTTAAATTATTACTAAACTATTTGCTGTTGAAAATGGTCAATTTTCTCGATCAACACCTCAAGAGAAGTGAGATTGGCTGAAAATCAGCACTGTCTTGAACAGGCAGTCCTTGGCAACACGTGCTGAGCCACCTCCATTTGCTTATTTACCTTATTCCTTCTTTTTGTAAACGTTTTTATTATTAACTAGCGGCTGCCAGCGACTTCGTACGCGTGGATCCCGTTTTACCCCCTTAGGGTTGGAGTTTTATAAAATCTGTTCTTAGTGAGCACCTACGTTTTAAATCTAAAAGGAACCCCCATGCATGAGACTCCTAGCACTTGTAGTTTCTGAGATTTCGTGATGAGTGAGTCAGTCAATCAGTGACGTTTCGCTTTTATAAATATAGATTTGAAAATAACTATTAAATTAAATAAGTGAAAACACAGAAGCCGTCTATTAATTAATCAGTATGAAAAAACCCTACAATATTTTAACTCTTTGCGTATAATATCAAATGCAAAAACAGTATTTAACCGTAGGCACTTATAAATTCAAAAAGCCTCCCTTTGTTCCGGCGAAGGCACAAGAGGTGATAACGTAAAAAATTATGTGCCAATGTCGAAGCATTAATACCCTATTTACACGCTACGACGTTTTTGCGAAAGGGATGCCAGAAACCCTTAACTTAAAGTGGCCTTGAAACCCCATCTTGCCGTTATCACGCACACGCTTAGGTATCATACTGGATATATTCCAAAATAAGTAATATTGTGCTGAGCTCACTCGTGACACAAGCATATTTAGCTTAGTATGAGGGGCTAACGGGAGTATTAGTAGTTTGTGAAATAAAAAGTTATAAATAAACTAAAAAAAAATCATTCATCATTATTATTGTTAAAAAATCTGCGTTTGAGTTGAAAAGTAATCTTACCGCATTTTATACCATTGAAAGATTTTTGTGAAAGTCTGACGCACATTTTCTATAATCCTCTAAGCTCTAAGCCGTTTTCAGGGTTTTATTTATATAGAAATTCAATATCTGCCAATCCTAACCCTTTTCCACTCGTTTCCCGCTCAGAATGGAGGTCCTAAGTCGGCAACCCTGCCATCCCGTTGTTCTGCCAGTCATCCCTTCGAGGGCACTGGCGCGTCTCGACAAACGCGCACGCGACGAAATTGAAATTTCCCGAGCAGAAAGAACGCACGTAATTCCGAGGAATCCAAGCCTACGTCAAAGGGACGTATTATGTGTCATATTTTGTCGGGGGAGACGTTAAATACGCACGTCGTTACCATAGCGAAATTAATCCTTTCGACGCTCTATTAAAAGGGTGGAGGAAAACGCAAATTCATCTCGTGCCGCCTTTGGTGCCTTTGACATTTGTGCGGTTTAAGATCCTTCAAAATATTTTTAACAAAGATACCGCAATTCAAAGGCATCAAAAACGCTATCAGAGATTTGCTTTCGCCTCACCACACACAAGACGTTCACAGGACATTCACGACCTTTACCTGAGTGGAAGACCTCGGTGAGACCGGAGACGTGGGAGTCCGAGGCGATGGCGGCTCAGCCCTGTGCTCAGCCAGCACCCTGTGTTCGTTCTTAGAACCCACAACAGAGTTCTTCACCCTCTCCATTTGAGCGTGAATCGCTTTACGCGATATGACCTTGATCTTCTCATCTTTAGTGCCACCGTCAGCTAGCTTCCTCATGAGCCTAGCAGTGGTGGCTACTGTGTGCTGCTGCGTATCGGAGTTAGTACGAGCGAGTCTAGTCGCCGGACGCGTCACGGGCGTAGCGGCTCCCGTACTGCTCCGAGTGGTCTCATTCCTATTGAACGGTGTGGAGTCATGTTCTGTGTCGGAATCGGCTGCGAGGTAGCCTCCTCCACCTACAGACGAAACGCCTGTGCGAAGCAGATTTTCGTGCTCTGCATATCTGACTCTCTCATCGACCGCAACCGTTCCATTCTGTGCCCTTTCCAGTCCACGTTCCATTTCACCAATTTGCCGTTCCAGCTTTCGTAGCACTTCGTCAGAGGGCGGGGTGGGAGCATTTTCGTCTGGCGGATCTGGAGCTTGGAATGATTTAAGGTGGATGGGATGAGCTCTGCTGATTTCCAGTTTTTTCGGCGCTATGCCCGAAGGTGTCACTTCGTACTGGGTGCGCGTTTGTGGAGGAGTTCTTTCCAGCATAGCCAGGGACACCGGCGATGGCGGCGGGGCGCCATTGACTGCTGGTTCTTGGGTCTCCGGGGTCCGAGACGCCCTCGGCGAGCGGAAGCTCTTCCGCATGAAGTCCTCGCGAGTCAGTTTCCTTTCCATTTTAGCTGGAGAACATTTCACTATTTTATAACTAAATTAAATACAGTATCTATTCATTCTATTCCTATCACAGTTGTGCTTTAACTAATTTAAAAACGAATGACCCTTATCTGTGAAAACAATCAACTGTTCTATAATCTCTCACGCTTTAGTTTATCAGATGATAACGTGTTTGATTATTTGAGGATTCAAACGATCTACTCTATTGTGCCGTATCAGTTTCCACAAATAGCTCGCTCGATACAAGTGACCTTGCCCTCCACGAACCTATTGAGAACCTCGAATAAGCACCCGCTCGTATGGCGTCAGAGCACCTCAACTACTCTCTACAGTGACGTCCTAGCAACTATTAGTTTCTATATGACTGTTTTCTATGGCGATAACGTAATCAATGAGAGATTGCCTATCGATGCGGACACCTATTAATTTTGGTACACCCAAGCTACGAAAGTGATAATGAAAAATTATCTACTGATAGTGATTGGCTACTCCATATTTAAAATAAGAAACCATAATGATATCCAATAACAAAAACATGGGAACGATTCCAAAACGGAACAAACAAACGAACAGCTTCTAAAAAATTCCAATTTCCATCTAACGACTGTGACATCATAACAAAAGTAATTGAGAAAGATACTATAATGGTTCTTCATGAAAAAAATGAGAATTAATAGTAATAATAAAGAAACAATAAAAATAAACAATGCCTAATCAAACTCCAAAATATCTAACCACAAAATGACAGTCCATTATCGATTTCCCTTTGTCCAATATAAATGACATTTTATGTCATTCAAACCTATTAAAAATAAAGATCCAAATCGAATGTTTCCAACTATAGACAACTGACAGATGTTGATTTGGTTTCAACACATCCATTGGGCGACGAGCGAGACAGGAATGGGCATGTCCATCTGGAAAGAAAGAGACAAACAACTGGGTTAGTCAAAGCGAACTCCTCTGACCATATACCAATTCCCAAAATCGTAGCACATAAAGCCTTCTCAGCGGACACGTAGGCATCTGAAAGAGACATGTATACCGTCACCGAGACACTTGGGTAAACACAGAACATACACAAAGCGAACAATACACAATTTCTGAAGACATGAATAAACATAATATGTATGTACTTAAGACGTATGAATTCATGAATGAAGATTACGATAATATTGAATTGACGACATCTTTTTGAAATATTGTTATGACCTAAAAATCCTTGACTTCTATCACGTCTGATAAGAATAGTAGTATTATTGTCATTGGCAAAGTAATTATAGGCCAGCCAGTTACAAAAAAACTCAAAACTCATTATTGTCTTGAACAATGAACCGTTAATAATAAACAAAAACATCATGAATAAACAATAAGAGTGTATTACGTTTAATTTAACGATATAACGGTAATAAATATCAACGGTACGTATCGTACGCATCTCACCGGAGCCTTGGATCGCGGTCTTGACAATACAACAGATGGTGAAACACGCGTGACTCACTATGTTTTCGCTGTAACACTTCTGAGCACACAAACACAGGCAAAATTGCGTTAGGTGAATGCCATTTTGTTTGTAATAAAACAATATTTAAGCAAATGGCTCTATAAGAGCATTAGAGGGGTTTCACCACTGGTATTTTTACACTACTTTAGTAGTAGTAAGTGTTTCATAATCAGTCATCTAGCCCATTTTGGTGTGATTACTCAATTTGATCCAAATCATAGATACAGGTGTTGCATTTTTTGATATGACCATCGTGGGATACATAGGACATAATCAATATAGATCTCGCGTAGGTACTTGTAGTAATATCAGCGTTGCCAGACGTCCCGATTTTGGCGGGACGTCCCGATTTTGGCGGGACGTCCCGATTTTTAAATCAAATTTAAATGTCCCGCGCGGGACAGGCTCTGTCCCGCTTTTCGGAGAGAGACACTCACTTCACCAGACTATTGTTTGAAACGCCATATTATTCTAAAAAATTAAACTTTTTTTATTTTTTTCTTTTTTTATTCTAAAGGCGAATTTAACGATAGAGTAAATCTGATTTAAATTATAATTTTTTTGTTGAAATACATTTTCTATGGCTACTTTTGCTATCTATTGTCACGTAAACGTAATTTTAAGTCAAATAAAAAGATAAATATTTGAAAACCTTTGATTATATACGTTTTTTTTTACTTTGTCCCGCTTTTGACGGAAGAATCCCGCTATTTTCACTCAAAAAGTACCAAAGTCCCGACTTGGCGACGAAAAACTGGCAACGCTGAGTAATATTGACTTTAATAATACTGTACAATAATCACCTTATAGCCTAGTTAAGGTTTTTCAGCCAATAACACCAATTATTTCGTTCTTAATAGTCTTTGATTACGAAACCAACCTTGAATAACCGCCGAAGCACTATACGGGACACATACGGGTATTATAGCAAAATAAGGACGGGTAAAAATAAGGATATTATAGGTTTTCTCTTACTTAACTGTGGTGGTATTCTATGAATTTAATGGGGTATAACATTAACAAGGTCTTAATGGAATACTTAATTCAATGTCATCGTAAAAATTTACGCATTGATGTAGAATCTCGTTAAACTTTTCATGAGGTTTTTATTTAGGTCTTTACTAGTTGATTTATATTTATCATAACTATACTATACAAATAAATAGCAATAAAGATTGTTTTATTGCACTCGAGTCAATGCAGACAGCAGCATATACACAAATCGCTATGTTGCTTGCTGTGAGCCGTTAACTTCAAAAAACCTATAGCTGATTTGATACTAGAATACCTGATAGTAGAATACCTCAACACTTAAAACGCTCAAAATACCCACAGCTCAGCCAAATATAATATTGTTAAAGGCAACAAAGTTGCATGCATGCTATTGAATTTGCTCCACACGGCTGGTTACCGTGCCTCAGTGGATTAGCAGTCCACTGAGGCTACTAATAAGGTCAGAGTTCGAGCAGGGACGGGAAGTGACAAAGTGATGGGTGACCTTTAGTTAGAAGCGACACGAGTAACGGTACTCTATTCGTTACAAAAATTCCGAACCCTTCCCTATAAATAATAGATCAGGAAACGGATTATTGAGTTTCGTCGAAGCGGCTCATTTCGATCAATTAACCCTTCATTAACGCGCTTGGTTGATTTAATCGTGTGTTTGTTAATTAACAGGATTTTGCTAATATTACATTATTAGATACTATTTATGAGCATGAAATGATTGCTCTCATAATGGCATGGTATCATTTCTGGCATAACCAATGTAACAGACACTTAAAAGTTGTTGGTTTTAAGTATGTAGATAGTTGGGCAATGTAGGTCATTGTAGGTTCATCTTTCTTTAGGGCAGTTTATGACATAATTGTATTCAAAATAACTTCGTTAAGCCCCTAACGCAGATGCAAGCCGTTAGTGATAACCACCAAGATCGGCTACATCTGGTATTTTCGAGCCAAACCGACTAAGAGTTGAAGTGGTCCGGTCGCCATGACCGAAATCGGTCGGAGGCATCATCATCAGTGATAACGTTTGTATCAGTGATATAAACAAAAACAAGCAATTTGGCAGCCACTCCATTCGTTAGGTGGATCTCACGTGTTGGTCTGCAAATAGTGCGTCTATTTATAAACTGGTCACGATTAATTTCCATCTATTTATACCCCGCAGGCAAGTTCGCAACAACAAGATAGGTCATACGTATTTGACTCATACGTTAAAAATAAACTTTTCTCTGTGACGTTCAAAGGAAAATCTGAATTTCATTCATAATATGAATATTTTAATCTATTCTGAGAAGGTCGATCTTATTCCGGCTCTTTAACAAATAAATGTAATTTAATAAGAAATGGTTTCTCTAAAAATAAACGATACACATGTAGGCTTTAGCACGTGTCAAGTTTAGGGAGGTCTTTGTCACTTAATACGCTTTACGGATTATCTTTAATTATGTGATTAGGGTTAACAGGCATTTTCAACGGGATATTGTAATACAGTGTGAGTCACGTTAAAGTGTACATATGAAAACAGATGAAACTAGACCTATTTTTATCGACAAAAAAGAGGTCAAAAATTTTTTGAGATTTTTTTAAAAAATTTTATAGAATTTTTTTTCTTCCAATTACTTATTGTAAAGAAAACGTAATAACTTTTAAACTAAGCGGTATATCCTGATAAAATAAAAACAGTAATAATGCTAAATAACAGGAAATAGTAAAAAAATACACAAAAAATGCCAAAAAATTATAAAAAATGATACTTTTTGAAAAAAATCTGCTTAAAAATTCGTGTTTTTTTGGTTATTCGATAAATTTCTCCAAAAAATGCCCCTATAACAGGTGGTTTTTATTATTTTGTATTATTCTCTATCGTATAACCTTTGTAAAACCAAAAATTGCATGTCTCTATCCCTATCACAACATTTGCTATGATAGTTTGAACAAAGGCCTATCACAACATTATTCTCCTCTACAGGTAGGGACAATTTTAATTTTAACTAAAATGCTTATTTTACTTACGAAATCTTTTGTTTTTACTTCAAATCTAACTTGTCTTTATCAAAATTACAAATCTAGAGCCATTTTCAGTTTCGTTGTTAACGAAGCGGCTTAGTTTAAACGATCATAGCAAATGTTGTGATAGGGATAGAGACATGCGATTATTGGTTTTACAAAGGTAATATGATAGAGAATAATACAAAACAATAAAAACCATCTGTTATAGGGGCATTTTTTGGAGAAATTTATCGAATAACCAAAAAAACACGAATTTTTAAGCAGATTTTTTTCCAAAAAGTATCTTTTTTTATAATTTTTTGGCATTTTTTGTGTATTTTATGTATTTTTTTACTATTGCCTGTTATTTAGCATTTTTACTGTTTTTATTTTATCAGGATATACCGCTTAGTTTAAAAGTTATTACGTTTTCTTTACAATAAGTAATTGGAAGAAAAAAAATTCTATAAAAAATTAAAAAAAATCTCAAAAAATTATTGACCTC